GTCGCTTCTCTTTAGCAGGTTTCATGCTGATACACAGATGGGCCCCAACTTAACAATGGTTTGACTTATAATTTTTTGACTTTACAATGGGTTTGTCTGGATGTAAACCCCATCATAAATTGAGGAGCAGCTGTATAGCAAGTGTTGATTTAATGTGGGTATGTAACCATCAACTCTAAATTTTTAATTGTTTTAGCCTCCTTTGTGTATAATGCAGATATTATGTGGATGAACATGGAGAATACACTGAAGTTTAATCTTGTTAGGGGGCCCTTTACCTCTTCCACTGACAAAAGACTCAAGCCCTGTGTCACCTTCTCAGTTAAGCTTCACATTCTTATCCCCTTAACTCCCCCCAATTAATTGTTGCTATACCATGATCCTGTAATACCATCTTTCTGGCCCTTATATTGACTATTAGCGACTCTGTAAACCTTAAATGAGTTAGGGAATGATAAAATATGGGGGTGTGTGTGTGTATGTATGGGAGGGAGTTAATATATAAATATAATGTATAAGACAATGAGAGGGAGTTAATATATAAATCTTATACATTATATTTATATATTAACTATATATAGTTAATTTTCATTTCATGAAAATTCACCTCAACCCATGCCATTCTGGCTTTGATCCCACCATTTCACTGAGGCAATTCTTGTTGCCAAACCAACATTTGGTCCTTGGCCCCCGGCCAGCTTTGTGAGCATACCACCTGCGCAGTGGCACAGGGCCCCATGCATACTTTAACACTGAGCTATCATTGTCTTGAAATTCTTAATCATCTTCCTACAAGGGCCTCACATTTACATGTTTTACTGGGCATGGCAGATTATGTAGCAGGCCCTGATAAGGCCTGAGCTTACTCAATCTCCTCAACGTATTTCACAGTTTGTCACCCTCTCGGAATACTTCTTGCCTCCCTGGACACCACAATTTCCTTGTGTCCTTCTTCTTTATGGCTCTTTCCTTTGCTCTTCCCTATCTGAAGGTTAAGTACTTTCACCCTCTTCTTTTTTATGGACTCACTTCCTAGGTGAGTCGATCCAGTTTACGGTCTTTAAGGCTTTCTCTAGGCTACTGCTAAGAGTAACAACAACAATAAAAAACTTGTAGCAATAATAGCTACATTTGAGTATTTTCTATGGGGCAGGCTTAAATTACAAGTATTATTTCATTTAATACTTTTAATACAATCTTGTGCAGATGAAGTGTCCTAGGCACAGAGGGGTTGAGTAACTTGCCCAATGGCACACAGTAGTAAGTGACAGCCTGGATTTGAACCTAGGGAGTCTAATTCTACAGTTTGTTCTTTTAACCAATAGTCAAACCCTCTCCCTGAGCTCCAGGTGGGAACGTCCATCTCCCTACTTGACATTTCCATTTGTGTGTCTAATTGGCATCTCAAATTTACTGTGTCCAAACACTTTTGATTTCTTATTTTTTCTTTTGTTTTTTTCTTAGACATGTTAACAAGACAAAACTTTTGATTTCTATTCCACCCTTCATCACTCCAAACCTCCTTCTCTTCTGGTCTTTCCCATCCCATTAAATAGCACTAAGATTCATTTAGGTACCCAGGTCAGAGCCTGGCACCTTCGATGCTTCTCTTTTTCTCTCCGTCACATCTAATTGTTAGTAGCCTCATAGGCTCTACCTTTGTGATGTGTCTTGATTTTAACTCTTTCTCTCACTTCCATGGCCTCCAGCCTAGTGCAGACCATTGTCTTCTCTTGACTAGATTATTGCAGTAGCCTCCTAATTGATTTCCTTCTTCAGTTCTGTCCCCTGACCCTATATATTCTCCCCACAACAGCTAAAGTATTAATAGTTTTTTTGTTTTTTTTCTAAATGTTTTATTTAAATGTGGATAATTACCAAAAATTGCACAAATCATAATAGTACAGCTTGGTGAACTTTCACAATGTGATATGCCCATTACAACACCCAGAGCAAGAAATAGAACATTACCAGTATCTCCAGAGGTTTCCCTTGTGCTCCCTTCCAGCCTCTGTCCTCCCTCCCTGCCATCCAGATAAACTCTGTGCTTACTTCTAACTTCACAGATTAGTTTTTCTTCTTATTAAGCTACATATAGATGAAATTTAATTACATAGGAGGTATATAGCATGAATATATCATAATTTATGTATCCACTTTGATGGATAGTTGGATTTCTAGTTTTAGTCAATTTTAAATAGTACTGCCACAAATGTTATTGTACATGTCTCTTGCTAAACACAGTAAGAATTTCTGTTGGGTATGTACCTAGGAGCAGAACTGCCAAGTTAAATAATAAGTGTATACTCAGCTTCAATAGATATTTCAAAAAAGATTTTCAAAGTGATTATAATCACCAGTATTATATGAGAGTTCCAGTTGTTCTACGTCCTCACCAAGGTTTGGTGTTAATTGTCTTTTTCATCATAATCATTCTGATGAGGGTGTAGGGATACCTCATTGTGATTTTAGTTTGCATTTTCCTGGTGACTCATGGAATTGAACACCTTTTCATGTGTTTATTGGCCATTTAGATATCCTCTTTTATAAAGTGTCTGTTTACGTCCTTTGCCTATTTTCCTATTGGGTATTTTGCCACTTTCTTATTGATTTGTAGAATTCTTTATAGATTCTGTATATGCACACTTTGTTGTCTGTTGGAAATATGTATTGTAAATATGTTCTCTGCCACTCCGTGGCTTCCTTTTTCACTTGGTTAGTGGTATCTCTCAATGAATGTCATTTCTTAATGTTAGTATAGTATAAATAGTCATTCTTTTCCTTTATGGCTAGTAATTTTCATGTCCTTTTAAAGCAGTCTTTGCCTACCCCAAGGTCATGAAGATATTCTGTGTTCTCTTTTAAAAGTTTATTGTTTTACTTATCACATTTACATCTACATTCTAAATGTAGTGGAATTAACTTTTGTATATTGTATAAAGTGTAGGAGTCAAGATTCATTTTTTTCTTATGAATATCCAGTTGACCCAACACAATTTTTTGAAAAGGTCATCCCTTCCTGATTATCAGAGTGACAGTTTTCTTAAACCGGATCCCGAGATCCCCCTGCTCAAAATCCTACAAAGATTTCCCTTTGCACTTAGAATAAATTATACATGTCTCACCATAGCCCCTCATCTGACCTCTGCCTCCTTCTTGGCTTCCTTCCAACCGGTCTCTTTCTTTCTCCTTTACTGTGGGAACATTGCCCTTCTTGCCATTCCTCAGTTTTCCAAGAGCATTATTGTCTTATGCATCCCACCGCATGAGATAATACTGTCTTATACATATGGGGTTCCTTCTGCCCAGGGTGTTCTTTCTCTATATCTTAGCCTGGATCACTCCTTATTTTACTCAGCTCTCTGTTCAAATGCCCTTTCCTCAGAATGGACCACCTAACCACCCCATCTAAGGTTAATGAGTTAATAATATATGAAAGTCCTCTGTAGTGTATGATATTATTAATGATGTCTTCCCTACTATCCTGTGATTCTTTGGGGGAATGGATTGCATCTTATTTGCTTTTGTATATCCTGTTTGCAGCATAATGCATAGAACTCAAATAGGGTCCTAAATGTGATGCATATGATAATTCATTGTCTTCCCTGTCTACATTAACCCAAGATAATTCAGACCTTAATAGAAGTATTTAATAATTTGGACGAGCTGTGGTAGAACATTGACTTTCTATGCTTTTTTAAAAAGGAGGTGATAAGCAACATTATAGCTCAAAATTTGTGACCTCACTTTAACTGTTTTATGTGTAAATAATGCATAGGCTAAGTCCAAATGAATTTTATATGTTGGCCAAAGAACTTAGAAGATTTCAGTGACTATATAGCCAGGCCCTATTTCTCTCCTAACAGTGATACTAATTGTATTTCAAGTTTATAAAGTTGCATTTTTTTTCTAAGCATTCTACAGTCTAGACTTAGTGGTTCTCATTGACCTATTTTCTGTTACTGGGGCGATTTCTGGAGCTACGTGCACATAATATTTAATAAAATTTGTTTTTTAAGCAAGAGTTAAAAATGTTTCATTTGCTTGTTTGTTCATTCGTTGCCAAGGCATTTATTTCCATTGATTGCATTTGTTTTTCTTGTCTTAAAGTCTTAAGCTAATGTCTGACACACATGACTTTTTTATCAATCAGCAAATGTCATAAAATTACAGAGCAGGAAGAGACTTTTAAGATCATCTTATCCAGCTATAAAAGTATTACTGGATCAATTGATAAAATTAAAATACAGTTGGTAAAATTTAGTATTTATGGTAAATTTCCTGTAGCTAATAACTCTGCTATGGGTATGTAAAAGAGTATCCTTTTTCTTAGAAAAAACACACTGAAGTATTTACGTATAAAGGTGCCATGATTTATACAACTTCTAGATGGTTTGGGAAATAGATGTGTGCATGTGTGTGTATGTGTGTTCATATACAGAGAAAGAGGAGCACAGGGCAAATGATAAGCCAAAAGAGGCAAAATATTAACAACAGATGGATTTGGGTAAAGGGTATAGTAGCGTTATTTGGATTATTCTTGTAGCTTTTCTGTAAATGTGAAATTATTTCCATGTAAACAGTTTAAAAAATTATCTCATCCAGCCCTCTTAGGGAAAACATTCAGTCTTCATGACACAGAGGTTAATTAAGTTTCCCAGTCACCCAGAGAGTTAGAGACAGATCTGACTCAGTCTAGTGTACTCTCTGTTACTCTGTATTGCCACCTTTTAGTAAATAAATAGTTACTGAGCTCTGATTGAATACAGGGACCAGTAATCCCTCAGTGTAGTTACATAGGTCATAGACAACCTTGCATGTGAGTGATGTAGTTTTGAGGATCTTTAAAAAACACTTTTGCTTTTGCCTGTCAGCCTTAGAACCTCCAGCCCGTCCGTTACCTGGAGGCCTTGTTGTTTAGATTCGCTGCCCATTGTAATGAGACATGCATATGTTTACGTTTTAACAAACAGTGGTTTTGTTCTTTTATTTCTTGATAGCTACTGCTTCTTGGGACACCTTTCTCATGGTGTGGAGTTTCAAGCCACAGGCTAGAGCTTACAGATATGTGGGTCACAAGGATGTCGTAACCAGCGTGCAGTTTTCTCCACATGGAAACTTATTGGCGTCTGCCTCACGAGACAGGACCGTTAGACTCTGGATTCCTGATAAGTAAGAGAAACAAAGGAACACTTGATATGCTTCGGATCTAGAAATGTGAACAAAAGCTGGAGCCTGACCGCTCCTCTGGTACTTCTTGGGAATGCCCAAACTCCCCGGTTACCTACCTACACCATCTGAGTCCCAGTCGCACAGGAGGGATACTGTCCTTGATGCATATTCGAACTATTTTGCACAGTTTTTGCCCTCATCTTTAACCTATAATTATATCTTCTTTTTGAAAACTATTTCTAGACATGGGAATATGTTTAATATATCTTAAATTTATGGGGAGGGTAGTAGTAGCAGTAGTAGTTTTTAATTTCTTTGTAAATCTTGATATAAGCTTTAGAATACCTCCCCAGAAAGATATACATCAACTTGTAAAACCAAAAGTTTACAGTTTATTAACCTCCTGACACCCATTTATGGATTCTTTAGGGGCCCTTGCATCCCTATTGAGAAAACGTCTGTGCCAAAACTGTTCTTTGATTTTTATCATTCATTATTGGGCTCCAGAATTTTCTTGTTAAAGAAAATTTCTGACAAAAGTGTAAATCATCACATTTGGGTAAGATCATATCCTGTTCTAATAAATCTCTCTATAAGAGGCTTTTCAACCACTAGCTGATATCCTATCTATTTTAAACAAATATTGTCATGATTTTTTAACATTTTTTAAGCTCTTGAGTCTATAAATTTTCAAACATACATGATAATAGAATGAATAGCATAACACCCCCCCCCCCAGATCCTCATCAACCAGCTTTGATGATTATTAGTGTACTGCCCATCTTATTTTGTCTATTTCAGCCCCGTCTCCAACACACAACCTTTTTTTTCCTGGAGTATTTTTAGAAGAAATCCCACACATCATATTATCCCCCCACCCAATGAAGGAAAGCTCACGGGGCATTCCTCTGCCAGTGGGCATTTATTTCTGCCTCTGCCCAAGGGAAACTCCATGTTGAGAAACCCAAACATCATCCTGATGATAGCAAATACTACTGAAAAGAAGTGTTGTGTTATAACGATAATGTGGATGGCAATGTAGAGGGGATTTATATAAGGAGAAGGAGACTGGTTTGGGGTCCAAGGGAAATGTGTTCCAAAATCCTTAACTTTGAGAATTTAGAATTCGTGTTTTTGCTATCTTCAGTCTCCCATTACTAATTTAAGGAAATCTCAGTGAACAAACTGTATAAGGGTAGATGAGCTAAAAGCACACTGCATCATTAATTTGTCATAGCTAATCTAAGTACAGTGATTAAGTTGGTGTAGATGTCTCTAGTTTCTCTTTTTAATCATGTCCTAGTGGGGCCAGAGCAATGGTGGATTATGGCAATGGGAAGGAAGCTGATGTATCAGTTATCTATTGCCACCTAACAGTCCCCAAAACTCAGTACCTTAGTACAAAAACTATCATTTCTCACAATTTTGTGTGTTGTCTGGATGGTTTTTCTGTCCCGCTGGTGTTGGCTGAGATTACTCATGCAACTTCATTGAGCTGGCAGCTGGGCTGGATGAGCCAATGCCTTACTCACATGCCTGGGGCCTTGGTGCGGGCTATTGGCTTGGGCACCTTAGTTCTCCCTGTGCTCTCTCTCCAGCAGGACTTTTTTACAGAGTGACAATGGGGTTCCAGGAGAATGAAGACAGAAGCTGCTAGACTTTTTAAGGGCTAAGCCTGAAACATGCTGTCATCTCTGCCACATTCCGTTGGTCCAGATAATGTCACAACACCAGCCTGGATTGAAAGTGGGGAGAAATAAACATACTCCACCTCCAGTAGAGAGGAGCAGCACACATGCACAGGGATGATAGGAGTGCCAGTGGCGTATCTGCAGAGAGACACCAGGGCTAGTGGCTGGGAGGCTAAGAAAGAATTAGATAAGAGCAAGTGTGAAAGCAGGTCTAGCCTGGAGTTCATCACAATGGGCGGTCAAGAGAATTTGGCTGAGCAGACAGGTAAATATGTGGGAGGCAGAGAGCCTGTATTAAAACAAGATGAGGAAGTAGAAACCAGTTAAGCACCAGCACAACAAAGGCACTCCTATCATGGTTTTTTAAATGCTTCCTGCCGAGACAGGATGCAGTGGTTAGGCCAGCTGAGAGAAGGGCCTTTTAGAAAGCAAGCAAGCAGAATAGCCTGCCAGAGTGTGGGGTCAGAACTGCATTTCAGGGCAGATTTTTATGATGCTGACTGGCTGTCGGCTTGGCTTCCCGGTCATTGCAGATGCCAAGTCTTTCCTTTGTTTCCTCTGGGCCTTATGCTTGAATTCAGGCCACATTACACTCTTGATTTCTACTCATAGAAATCTCCGTAGAGACTTCACTGAGCTAGTCCCTGGATGCTCCCTCCTAATTTTCATTTAGTATTTATTTCAGTTATTCCTGACATAATATTATATGTGAGAGGATAGAGATTTGTGATAAAGTCACCTTTGCCTCCTGCAGGCCACAGGAAGGCTGAGCCAGGTTTGACCTAAGAACGTTTAAGTATGGACTCTTTCTAGTGGAATGCAATGAAATGTGTCGAGCTCTTTTTATGTGCCTGGCATTGTGCTAGATGCTGGTCTTAAATAGATAAAGAAATTATTATTCCTGGCTTCAAAAAACTGACTGCTTAATAGGAAAGAAACAGGTTTATTTTTTTTTCAAGTCACTGTATAGTGCAGTAAGCAAAATAGCTGAAGCACATCGGGAGTGAATAAGCTTGTCTGGCTTGGTCAAGGAGGTCTGGGGATGGGGGACATACTCCAAACTGAGAAAGCGGAAAGTGCAAAGGCAGAGGTGTGTTTGAAGCACCATAACCGTGCCAAGTACAAAGTTCAGTGTTGTGGCAGGATGTTTTGCCAGAGAGCTTGGGCGTTGTGCTTTCTGTTGGAGGACAGCCAGTGACACGTCTACACTGGGATTTATGTGCTTGGAGTTACACTCACAGCAAGGTAATAAGCACAGTATGTAGGTGAACGGAAAGGGATACAAGATTAGAGCAGGGAGACCAGCTAAGAGGCTTTTGCAATAACCTAGGTGAAGGATGTTGAGGATATATCTAGCTTAGGGCAAGCAGAGCAGGGATAGAAAGAAGAGGAGGATCTCAAAGATATTTAGGAAGTGAGGACGATTTGGATGTGGTTTGTTGAGTTGCTGGATGTGGGAGGAGAGGAAGGGGGAGGAGTTGGGGCGACTTCCAGGCTTCTGGCTTGGAGACAAGCAGATGTTGCTCTGACCAACCAAGGTAGCAAAACACAGGATGAGGTGCGAGTGTATGGGAGGCCAGTGCGAACACTGGAAAATATGATCCGGATATATTATTTCAGATTAAATTCTGTTGCCTGATCTTTGTCAAGCAGTTATGGCAGTTTTCCCCATAAGGTATCAGTAGTTTAAATGTAACTTTCTCTCTCTCTTTTTTTTCTTTTTTCTTTCTAGCACCAGAGTTTCAGAAACAAAAATGTAACTTTCTCAATGGGCAAACTGCTAAGTCCTAGATATACTATAAGGTAAAAGTGCCTTGGGGACACTGGCCCAAGGTAGGGTTTCCCACATATCACCTTGGGAAGTGCTACTTGTGCCAGTGTTCCCAGCCTGCCCCTCACCTGGCCAGCCTCACTCCGGGCCTCTCCCACCACCTGCTGCCCTCCTGGCTTTCTCCCACACAGCCACCAGGCTCCCAGCTCAGGGCTCTGTCCTCACTTCCTCTCTCCAAGATACTGCTTTCTTCAAGCTTCACTCCCTCCCTTCTTTAATCTCTGCTCCAAGGCCACCTTTCTGTGAGGCAGGCCCTGGACACCCTGTTTAAAACTGCAGCCCCTTCCAGCTGGGCTCTGTTTATCTCCACAGCACTCACACCATCCGACCTACTTTCTTGTTTGATTACTGTCTGACTCTCTAGAGTGTAAGAGCAGGGCCTTGGTTATTTTGCTAACTACTGTTCCCAGCACACAGTGGTTACACACTAAGGATTTGCTGAATGAAGGAATGAACGAATATGCCCTCAGTCAAACACTGTCTAGCCTGTTTCTATATTTTTTTTCTGCTTCTCAAATGCCTCACATTATTTTCTCTCTTTTTATCCTCTTTTTTTTTTCCATTCTAGCCAAGGAGGGAAAAAAAAATGCATCTGAAATTTGAAGGTGTTGAAAAGTGACGTGTATTGTTACCATTTATTCTTCATTCTGCTTGTGAGTGTGAGCTTGGGCCTACAGGGTCAGCAAGGCCTTAGATACACACTGGGGGTCTGATTTGTCGTTATTGGTGGAAGGAAGATGGGAATGGGAAAGTCAGATCACCTAGAGACGTTCAGTCTAGAGGCAAGTGGCATAAAGAACTTCTTCCCAACCCAGGCTATCAGTCCATGCAACTTCCATGTGACCTCAGTCTGAAAATAGCTTTGGTGCTATTGATTTAATCAATGGCTCTTACTAGGTTGTAACTTCTTTAAACCGTATACTGCCATTTCTAGAGGAACAACAGAAACTTAAAATGCATGGTAGAGATTTGTTCAAAGTACTATTTCCCTAGCTTTCCATTAAAACAAAAACAGCAAATGCATTTCAGGGTGGAAACAACTACGATCTTTCTTGTTAAGTATTAGTTGTGACTTAATGACCAAAAGTAGTATGAAACAGTGTTGACTAAAGGTACGGTACAACGTAGCCGTTTCACACATTTGTTAGGCTTTATATGAGTTAACCCATTTTATATGCTTTACAGTCTGTATAAGGATAAAATGTCAATTGTGATTAAATCAAATGTTTTATAAATATTAAACTGTTTATTTCCAGGAAAGGGAAATCCTCAGAATTTAGAGCCCATACAGCTCCAGTTCGAAGTGTGGACTTTTCAGCTGACGGCCAGTTATTAGCTACGGCTTCTGAAGACAAATCTATCAAAGTATGGAACATGTTTCGCCAGCGTTTCTTGTATTCCTTGTACAGACACACACACTGGGTACGCTGTGCCAAGTAAGTGCAAAACATTTCATAATAAGATTTCCATATTTTTTTTTTGCTGCTGTAGTCCGTGTTTTTCCCCCAACCTCCAGGGAATTGAGGGCATATTCATTCATTCACTGGTCACTGCTTTGAGCTGAGAACAGTAGTCAGTGAAATAGTCAAGGCCCTGCCCTTATATTCTAGAGAGTCAGACAGTAATCAAATAGGAAAGCAGATACAGTAGGTCGGATGGTGTGAGTGCTATGGAGAAAAACAGAGCCTGGCAGGAAGGGGCTGCAGTTTTAAACAGGGCATCCAAGGCCTGCCTCACAGAAAGGGTGGCCTTGGAGCAGAGATGTCAAGGAGGGAGGGAGGCTTGAAGAAATTCGGGAAAGGAGTGTCTTGGATAGAGGAAGTGAGAACAGAGCCCTAAGGTAGGAGCCTGGTGGCTGTGTGGGGGAAAGCAAGGAGGGCAGGGGGTGGGAGAGGCCCAGAGTGAAGCTGGCCAGGTCAGAGGCCATGCTGATGTAGCCCTGGGTTGGGGGGACACGCTGCTGCAGCGTGCTCATCTCTCTGTCCTGGGCTTTCCTGTGATTGCTCTGACTGCTGCGTGAAGAATCCACTATCAAAGCGGGGCCAGAGGCAGGGAGACGTTGTTAGGAGGCTGATGCAATACAAGGCCCAGCTCGGACCAAGGTGGTGCCAGAGGGAATTGGGAGAAGCAGTTAGATTCTAGATGGAGTTTGAAGTTATGACCTGTGGTACTTGCTATCACATCAGATGTGACAGAGAAAGAAGAGTCAAGAGGACTCCAGCAGCAGTCTGATGGTAGACGAGAGCTGATGTAGGTGTCATTATTACCTGTCGGCTAACGTCATAGAGCCCTTCCTATTCATGAGAAATGGTGCCAAAATACTTATAGTGCATCAGAACTGCCCGAGATGGAAAGGTTGTTTTATCTCTCCCATTTGGCAGATGAGGAAACTGAGTTTCAGAGAGGTGAAGTTAGGACTTATCCAGTTGAAAGTGACAGAAACCGAAATTCTTTTTCTCCCCTCCTCGTGGTTAATTGGCTGATGTGTTTGTAGTGGGGAAGGGAACACTAAGGCCAGGGACTTCATTTCTGTCAGGCCTCTCTCTGTGTCTCATCTCGGGGCTTCTCTACACACTGGCTCCGTTCTCAACACGTGCTGGTGTGAGGTCATGCCAGCTCTGGGCCTCAAGCCTCATAGCTTTGTGACAAGAGGGGAAAAAGCGTCTCTCTCCCAGCTCCAGTTACAATAGTGCCAGGGATGACTCTGGCCCCGCTGGAGTCCTGGGCCCGTCCCTTTGCCCAGCAGTGAAATGCTGTGGCTGCCTCAGAGTGGGTCGGGGGCCTGGCTGAAACCTGTTGCCCTGGCCAGGGAGGAGGGGCCGTCCCAAGCTTATGTTCTGGGCCTGGAGATCGAGAACAGTTCTCAGAGGGAGGGGCATGGCACAGACGTGGTCACTAGGGAAAAACTGGGGCCCCTGTGGCCACCCTACTCTGTGCCTGCTGTGTGCAATGACAAGCCAGGTGTCCCCAGCTAGGCTGTGGTGAAGTGGCAGTTGGAGCCAGCTCTCTCTGCCTCACCTTGTAGCCCACACTCTTCACCATAGTTATGTTCTCAGGGGGACATTGTTCCTCAGGAGGTGCTGATTACAGCCTGTGGTGAGGAGCATAAGACGAATACAAAAAGATCTCACTTTTAGTCAATAGTTGGCTTTCTCTTAAAGCCCTCAGCCACCTTTGGGCTCTGGCCATCTCAGTATTTTTTCTACATTTGTCATATAGCTGTGTGGTGAAAAACACAGACCCTGGCCCTAAATATACAGGTTAGTGTCCCAGCCCTGCCACTTGTCAGCTGTGTGACCTTTGGGAAAGTCCCTGAACTTCTCAGTGCCTCAGTTTTCTTACCTATAAAATTAGGATCACGATGGTAGTAACCTGCCACATAGTTGTTATGGTATTTAAATAAGTAAATACCCAGGTGGCACTTAGAGTAGTGCCTCCCACATGGTAATCACTATGTAAATCTTAGTAATCATCTTCATCACCATCACTGGGTATCTCATTCTTACTAAATTTTTAAAGATAGTATGTAACTTGAGTTGATAATATTTTAGACTAAACTTAATTTAACAACCCAGAATCTCCTTAGGTGGGATAATTTTTTCCACCTTGAGGTCTCAAGAGTCTGGTCAAATCCTTTGTGTTTGTCAGTAACAAGAGGAGGCAGAGAACAGACAGAGGTACGGGCAGCTGGGGCAGGTACTGGGAAGGAAGAGTTATTTAGCCCCCACTAGGAGCCAACTCTGGGTATGTTTGGCAAAAGAAACGTCCCTTATCAGGGAGCTCAACAAAAAGCAAAAACACTGAATGTTTATTTAACCAAGCAAAACACAATACTCTATTTACACTCCAACTAAAAATAATAAGGTTTTTTTATCCAGTGTGGACTATGTGCTTCTGTTTCCTTCCAAAAAGAATGAAGATAGTTAAAAACTTTCACATTTACTCTCACACCTGTCACGGAAAGAAGGAGCAGACAATTCTATCTAGAATCGTGTAACCTGAGTTTCCTGAAGCTGAGGTATTAGTGGAATGATGGTGGCTGACATAGTTTTCATTTTCTAATAACAAGAAGGAATACTGTCATGTTTTCCATGTAAGAGGAAATCTTTCCTAGAAGTAAATTATAGGGGGTACTTTATTCATTGCTCTTGTATTAAATCATCTATATAGAATATAAATGTGAAAAAAAGAAGGTAACACTAATGTGAGACAGAAGAATTTATAAAAACTCACCAATAATGTAAAATTTTGGTCTTCAAAATATACCTTTCATAGCATAGCCCCTGCCATGTTCATCTGTATTAAGTACATAGAGATGAATAGAGTCTTGGCCTCAGGGAGTCTACAGTTCAATGGAAAAAAGTAGATACTAAATAATTATAAAATGATGTATGCTGTGGGGAAAATGATACACAAGTAAATGAGTAAGGCATTGAACTAGATTTGTGTGAGGAAAAATCGAGACAGACATTCCAGGCTGTTAAATTAAGTTTAGCTTACAGCTGCCTCCTTACATATTTTAAGTCTGCCCTAAACGTATCTCCCTCTGTAGTGAGGGGTAACCTAACTGGATGTGTAAACAGTCTGTAACCTTCCCCTGTAGCAATTGCAAGCGTCCGCCAGTCACAGATGGCCGACTGTTCAGACACCGAGCTGTGACCAATCGGGCTGTTTCTGTACCTCGCTTCTGTTTTCTGTGCATCACTTTCCTTTCTCTGTCCCTATATCCTCTCTGACCATGCGGTAGAGCCGGAGTCTCTCTGAACGTATTCTGGTTCAGGGGCTGCCCGATTTGCAAATTGTTCTTTGCTCAATTAAACTCTGTTAAACTTAATTTGTCTAAAGTTTGTCTTTTAACGAGGCCCAGATCTGAAGAAAGGGAAGTGGAAACGGAGGCAGCAGGCATGTTTGGCCGATGGGAGGAGGGTGGGCAAACTGTGTCAAGGAGGGAATCAGGAGTGAAGCTCTGTGGCCTGAGGGAACATAGTGTGCCCTGGGAACGTCCATGCTTCAGCTGTGGTCAGAACACAGGAAGTGGAGTGGGACCAGGTGATATTCATATGCCCACCTGCACCACAGCGTTACCCTTGAGCAACTCCCTGCTCTCGGCCTCCGTGGAAAGAGAGGGTAATGAGGCATCTCTCAGGGGACAACTGTGACAATGCAAAAATACAAGTTTGTGGTGTTTGGGATTGAGTGATGCTGGAAGACTGCCTCTCTTCCAACTGAGTTCCAGTTAGGGAGAAACTCTGGAGTTGGGGAGGAGCCACTGAAAATGTTCTTCTCCCTTATCAGTTTGAGAGGAGAAAGCAATGGTGGGATTCTGCATTTCTGTCTGCCTAGCCCTGATTCCCTGTTTTCTGGTGGCAATGCTCGAATTTTCCATGAAGAACCAGTATTCCTCCTCCATCCCTCTGTCTGTCATGTGCTAGAGGGACCCTATCTTCAATTCCAGCAGCAGGCATTCAGCTCAGGCATAGCATGTCCCTCCTATGCCTCATGCCTTTCCTCTTGGATTGCTGCATTTAGGCTTGTTTAAGCCTGTAACTGCTGAGGGACACTGTGGGCAAAAAACTGACCTGAAAATGATGTTGATTCAGAGAGCAGAGCTGTGAGGGGAAGACAGGATGACTTGTTTAAACACATGGTCCAGTTTCTGAATACAGCCATACCTGAAAGTATCAGAATGTGTGTGTGTGTGTGTGTGAGAGAGAGAGAGAGAGAGAGAGACAGAGAGAGACAGAGAGACAGAGAGACAGAGAATAGAGGGAGGGAGGAAGAAAGGGAGGAAGAGAGAGGTGAGCCTTAAAAAATTCCATTTTGCTTTTTTTTTTTCCTAAAAAAAAAGATGCTTTCCATAGGAAGTGATACCAGAGCAGAGTTTTAGAAAAATGAGATATTTGTATCTAGTCAAGACACCTGTTTTATCTTCATCCTCAACACCACTGCCTTAGGGTTTTTGCATTGTTGGCCCTTATGGAAACTTTCACAATAATCTCTTAAATATCTTGACTGCAGATTCCCTTCATCTCTGCTGTTGTACAAAGCAAATCTGGTCATGCTGTTCCTCAGCAACTCCTTGCCCTGGCATGTATGCTCTGCTTTCCTGTCGCAACCTGTCTTTGTTTTGTCACTTTCACCATTCACCTTATTGCAGCTACATAAGGTTCCTCAAGTGTGAATGGTCTGTTTTGTTTTGTGCCTTCACACATGATGTCTTCCACAACTGGACTGTGCCAGCTCCCACCCTTCCTTTATAGTCCTGCTCTGTCTCTCTTCCTCCAAGAAATATTTCTGACTTTCCCAGGCCAAGCTTATTGTGATTGCTTTATGCTACTACATTGCTCTGTTTAGGAAGTTTGTCAGCTTAGTCCTCTCTTCCCTATTAGACTTTGAGTTACTAGCATTTTAATTATGTTGTATTCTCTTGCCAGGC